TATCTAACAGACAATTAGTTATTAATAAAATATTAGAATTACGAAGTTTATTCTCCAATTTTGAAATTCAATATTTTCAAAAGTAGCTGCTAAAATATGACTGACTTTGGTAAACGACATACCCTCTAAGAAAAGAGAGGGTGGGTGGGCGGAGCTAGCAGCTGAGAAGACTGATTTTGGCAAGTGATTTTGAGAGAGACTACTCAGTCAAATCAAATTTGCATATACAGGGTGACTCAAAAAAATTAATGAATGCGTGAATTTTTTTTATTGATTTAAGCAGGAACTGCAAAACCGAATCCTTTGAAATCTTGCAGATGTTTTAAAGTTATCGTAAGCACGATACATTTTTCATGAAAATGTATTTGCTCATCCCCCCTAAAAAATTGATGACATCACCTCAAAATATTGCTGGATATACCTTAAAGGTGCAAAATATGATGACTCTATACTTGTGATTTATTTTTAATATATAATTAATATTTTTTGAATTCGCTTATACAGGGTGTTTGCGAAAAATTAATGATTGAGTTGTTAAAAAATAAATATCCAATCAGATTTAGCAATCTAACTTGTTACTATGGAAATATGCAATTTAACACCTTTTAAATTAAACAAATTTTTACAAGTTTAATAGGGGCAAAATCAGTGCTAGTCTAGCTCCACCCACCCGCACTTTATTTTCTCAGAGTTTATGTCATTTGCCAAAATCACTCTTATCTTACCAAGTACTAGCCCCACCCACCCGCCCCCTATTTTCTCACAGTTTGTCATTTGCCAAAATCAGTCTTATCTGGGCAAGTGCTAGCCCCACCCACCCGCCCTCATTTTCTCAGAGTTTATGTCATTTGCCAAAATCAGTCTTATCTGGGCAAGTGCTAGCCCCACCCACCCACCCTCTATTTTCTCGGAAGGTGTGGCGTCTGCCAAAATCAGTCTTATCTGGGCAAGTACTAGCCCCACCCACCCGCCCCCATTTTCTCAGAGTTTATGTATGTCATTTGCCAAAATCAGTCTTATCTGAGCAAGTGCTAGCCCCACCCACCCACCCTCTATTTTCTCGGAAGGTGTGGCGTCTGCCAAAATCAGTCTTATCTGGGCAAGTACTAGCCCCACCCACCCGCCCCCATTTTCTCAGAGTTTATGTATGTCATTTGCCAAAATCAGTCTTATCTGAGCAAGTGCTAGCCCCACCCACCCACCCTCTATTTTCTCGGAAGGTGTGGCGTCTGCCAACATCACTCATATCTTATCAAGTACTAGCCCCACCCACCCGCCCCCTATTTTCTCAGAGGATGTCATTTGTCAAAATAAGACTTACCTTAGCAAATACTAGCAAGTAGTACCCTCTGAGAAAATAAAGGGCGAATGGGCGGGGCTAGTACTTGCTAACATAAGTCTTATTTTGGCAAATGACATCTTCTGGGAAAGTAGGGGGTGGGTGGGCGGGCCTTATATTTGGTAAGATAAGATTGATTTTGACAAATGACATATCCTCTGAGAAAAAAGAGGCGGGTGGGCGGGGCTAGTACTTGATAAGATAAGAGGGATTTTGGCAAATGACATCCTCTGGAAAAGTAGGGGGTGGGTGGGCGGGCCTAATATTTGATAAGATAAGACTGATTTTGGCAAATGACATATCCTCTGAGAAGAAAGGGGCGGGTGGGCGGGGCTAGTACTTGGTCAGATAAGAGTGATTTTGGCAAATGACATCCTTTGGGAAAGTAGGGGGTAGGTGGGCGGGGCTCGTACTTGATAAGATTAGACTGATTTTGACAAATGACATATCCTCTGAGAAGAAAGGGGGCGGGTGGGCGGGGCTAGTACTTGGTAAGATAAGAGTGATTTTGGCAAGTGACATATCCTCTGGGAAAGTAGGGGGTGGGTGGGCGAGCCTAGTATTTGTTAAGATAAAACTGATTTTGCTCTTATTAATCTTGTAAAAATTTGTGAAATTTAAAGGAATCTGCAAAATATGATGAGGTTTTTATTACTTGTGATTTATATTTGACAGATAATGATTAATATTTTTTAGATTTGCTTATACAGGTGGCCCAAAAAAAATTAATGAATTAGTCAATTTATTTCATTGATTAAAGCAGGAACAGCCCACCCCACTTTTCCAGAAAATTTTGGAAATACAATTTATTTTTAGTTTATTTTTATTATTACACTGCACCAATCCAAACTGATATACGTGTCCTTGCAAAAATCTTGACGTCATCACAAAATTCTGTAAAGTGAAAACTCAACTCAAAAATGCTGAGTATATTTCAGTGGACTTTAGTTGCGAGGGAAGTTCTGTTGAAACAGCTTTCGACCAATTTTTTAAAAATGTAAAATGTTCTCGAGGGTCCTAACTGCCTCTTTTAAAACCGTAAAACCTTCTCCGGGGTCCCAACTGTCTCTTTTAAAACTGTAAAACCTTTTCAGGGGTCTCAATTGTTTTTTTTTGAGAATGTGAAACCTCGGGGGTTCCGACTGTTTTTTTTTATACAAAACCTTCTCGGGGGTCCCAACTATCTTTTAAAACTGTAAAACCTTCTTGGGGGTCCCAACTGTTTTTTAAAACTGTAAAACATTCTCGGGGGTCCCAACTGTTTTTTTTTTAAGAATGTGAAACCTTCTCGGGGGTCCCGACTGTCTTTTTTAAAACTGTAAAACCTTCTCGGTGGTCCCAACTGTAAATTTTAAAACTGTAAAACCTTCTCGGGGGTCCCGATTGTCTTTTTTAAAACTGTGAAACCTCGGGGGTCCCGACTGTCTTTTTTAAAAATGCAAAACCTTCTCGGGGGTCCCAACTGTCTTTTTTAAGAATGTGAAACTTCTCGGTGGTCCCAACTGTCTTTTAAAACTGTAAAACCTTGTCGGGGGTCCCAACTGTCTCTTTTAAGAATGTGAAACCTTCTCGGGGGTCCCGACTGTCTTTTAAAACTGTAAAACCTTCTCGGGGGTCCCAAGTGTCATTTTTAAAACTGTAAAACCTTCTCGGGGGTCCCAACTGTCTGTTTTAAGAATGTGAAACCTTCTCGGGGGTCCCGACTGTCATTTTTAAAACTGTAAAACCTTCTCGGGGGTCCCAACTGTCTTTTTTAAGAATGTGAAACCTTCTCGGTGGTCCAACTGTCTGTTTTAAAACTGTAAAACCTTGTCGGGGGTCCCAACTGTCTCTTTTAAAACTGTAAAACCTTCTCGGGGGTCCCGACTGTCTTTTTTAAAACTGTGAAACTTCGGGGGTCTCGACTGTCTTTTTAAAAAATGCAAAACCTTCTCGGGGGTCCCAACTGTCTTTTTAAAACTGTAAAACCTTGTCGGTGGTCCCAACTGTAAATTTTAAAACTGTAAAACCTTCTTGGGGGTCCCGACTGTCTTTTTTAAAAATGCAAAACCTTCTCGGGGGTCCCAACTGTCTTTTTTAAGAATGTGAAACCTTCTCGGTGGTCCCAACTGTCTTTTAAAACTGTAAAACCTTCTCGGGGGTCCCAACTGTCTTTTTTAAGAATGTGAAACCTCGGTGGTCCAACTGTCTGTTTTAAAACTGTAAAACCTTGTCGTTGGTCCCAACTGTCTCTTTTAAGAATGCGAAACCTTCTCGGGAGTCCCGACTGTCTTTTTTAAAACTGTAAAACCTTCTCGGGGGTGTCAACTGTGATTTTTAAAACTGTAAAACCTTCTCGGGGGTACCAACTGTCTTTTTAAAACTGTGAAACCTTCTAGGGAGTCCCGACTGTATTTATTTAAGAATGTGAAACCTTCTCGAGGGTCCCAACTGTCCATTTTTGAATTTCCCGCGGGCCCCAACTGTCTTTTTTTTTAAGAATACTGAAACTTCTCGGGGCTCCCAACTGTCTTTTTTAAAGTGAAATCTCTTTTCCTGTTACATTGTGACTAGTACCTTCTATATTTTTTTTACTCTATAGAGGATAACCTCTTAAAAATTATAAAATTTCGCAAAATCAAATTTTATAATTTTTCAGAAAAACAAAACTTGTCGGACTGTACTTCAAATAATAATAAAAATAACTCTGGATCAAATTTTGGTTCACAGTTTATTTTAGTCCTACTTGTTATTTTATTAAAGATCTACCAATGCGTCAATTTACACAAAAATTCGTTTAAACCAACAGGAAGTATTTATTGGGTCACCAATATTAATCACCTGTAGACAATCTTAAAATGTGAACAGATAACATTAAACTAATTGAATCAGAACTTTGTGCTAATTAAGTCAAAATTCTGATACGTTATCTCGAAATTCTGATCTAACAATCTTAAATTTATTTCCACAAACTTACATAATTGAAAGCTTCAAGCAAAAAAGAGATTTATTTACTTTACAAAATGTTGAGATGACGTCACCAGTTTTTTGGACGGAATAAATACACAATCTTTGGCCGGCGTTCAACCACGCCCGCTTTGATCTCGACAATCATTTACAAATTTTCCGAAAAAGCAAATCAAAATAAACCGAAGTAATTTAATTTTGAAAATCAGCAAACCCACATTTGACACCAGAAAACCTTGACCTTGACCTTGTCACCAGCCCAAGTGCCCATTCCTCGACATTACCATCCAGCAAACCCAATAAATCACGTTACGTAACGCCGCCGCCCCCACTTGGCCCCATCCTCTCCTGTTTATTTACACCTGCTTTTGGCACAAAACCTCGCATAATTTTAAAATTACTCAATACTCCTCGCAATAAACAGGTCGACTTTGATGCATTTCGATTCTATTTAGAACGCGATTTATCACGAAGTTCCCGGTACCCGAGCGGTCCATAAACAAACGCCGTCTCTCCCCCCGAGTCCCCGTGCATCCGACCGAGTGCATACATTTGAATGGCGATGAGGCAGCGGTCTCGGCGTGCGTGTCTCGGGTAGCAAGCGGGCGTCCGCCGGGGGTTGCGGGCTCACCTTGGAACAGGGGTGTGGGAACGGGACCGAGGCCTGCGTGCCACCTGTTGCTGCAGATCGCGTTACAGTTAGATGTTGTTGCAGATGGACATGGACTACATCGACAGTTCCTTCGACTACGATGTGGAGAACGAGGACTTCTACGAGGTGAGCGTGCCCGCCAAGGGCCAGAAGAGGAGGGTCACTTTCAAGCAGCAAGTGTCCACGAAGGTGAGTGAGGGGCTGTTCTGGGGCTGGGTTTTCGTTGTGTTCCGTCTGTACTTCAATCAATCGTGGTTTATAATCCAAACACTTGTGCGCTTCCTGGAAAAAATCCTCCGAATTTTTCTGGCTCGAGTCGAGGCGATGTAAAAATAGCTATTGGGTTTGACTTCTGATGAATGGACGATGCGGTGTAGACTTTCGTTTATTATTTCGATTTTTACTTCCCGAGCGTAAGCTGAGTAAGAATTGTAGAACGACTGGCTACTTTTATATTTTATTGACGTTTCATGACCCTTAGACTACGAAAAAGGAGGTCTCCCGTTTCCATCTGTCTGTCTGTCTGTCTGCCGTCTGTATTTGTATAAACATATCCACCAACAAGAAGATGACGTCATCTCCAAAATTTACATTCGTTAATATTATTTCAGTTTTATAAAATAAAATAATCCGTCACCCACATTTTCGGAAAAAATCGTGCAAACGTTATTGTAATCATGGTAAATCGTTGTTTAAAATTTATACGTTTATGACCTTCCAAAAAATTGATGACGTCATTCCAAAATTTTGCCGAATAAATCTTTTGATATCAGTTTTTCGTTTTCTTTATTTTTTCAATTTTTCCAATTTCTCCATTTTTTCCATTTTTCGATTTTTCAGTTTCTCAATTTTTTTACTTTCATTTTTTCGATTTTATATCACAATTTTTCGTTTTTTCATTTGCTTTATTTTTCAGTGTTTCTTTGATTTTTTTGTCTATTCAATTTTTCAAATTTTCCGATTTCTTTAATTTTCAATATTTCGAGTTTACAACATATTTCGTTCTTTCGATTTTGCAGTTTTTCGATTTTAAACTTTCTCAGTTTTCGATTTTTCAATTTCTCCCTCCTTCAATTTTTAAAAGTTTTCATTTTATACTTTTTTGTTTTTTCATTTTTGATTTTTCAAGTTTACAATTTTGCAATTTTACCATTTTTTGGATTCGAAAAGTTGAAATATTGAAGAAGTGAAATATTAAGTAAATTAAAAATCGAGAAACTAAGAAATTGGAAAAACTGCAAAATCGAAAAATTGAAAAATCCATATATGTATTGAAAAATTTAACTTTGAAAGTCAAAAATTTATAAAATGAGACCATCAAAAAACCGAAAAATTAAAAAAAAAGAAACACCGAAGATGAAACATTGAAAACTCGTGAAAATGAAAATCCAAAAATTGTAAAATTTCAGAATTGAAATATCCAAAAGTTGGAAAATGGAAAACTTGAAAAATTAAAAAAAAACTTATGAAATCGGAACTTTTAAAAATGAAAAGTTGTAAAAATAAAGAAAATAAAAAACCGAAGCGAAAAATTCCAAATCTGGAATTGAAGACTAAACAATCGAAAAATTGAAAAATTAAAAATGGAAAAAATTGATGGAAAAGGTACTAAATCCAATAAATTGAAATATGAAAAAATTGTAAAATCGTAAAACTGAGAAAGTGAAATATTGTAAAAATTGTTTTCACATATTTTGAGATGAAAAGTTCCAAATCAAAAATTGAAAAATCCAAAAAGTGAAGAAATGAAAAATTGAAAAATTAAAAATTGAAGAACTGCATCACGAAAAATTGAAAAAAACGAAAAAATTGAACACATCGAAATCACAAAAACCACTAAAATCGGAACACTGAAAAATTATAACAAAAAGAAAATAAAAAACCGAAGCGAAAAATTTCAATTCTAAAATTGAAAAAATGAAACACTGAAGAATAGGATAATTGAAAAATTAAAAATGGAAAAAATAAATGAAAAAGTTCTAAATTCTAAAAATTCTAAAATTGTAAAAGTGAAATATTTTAAAAATTATTATTACACACCTATTTAATATGAAAAGTAGAAAAATTGGAAATCGAAAATTAAAAAAAGAAAATTGAAATCTCCGAAACCTGAAAAAGTGAAAAAGTGAAGAAATGAAAAATTGAAAACTTGTGAAATTGCAAATCGAAAAACTAAAGAAACAAAAAAAAATAAAAAGTTGAAGAATTGCATCTCGAAAAATTGAAAAATCCATATATTGAAAAATTTAACATTGAAAAAGTCAAAATTTATAAAATCAGAACATCGAAAAACCGAAAAAATTTTAAAATAAAGAAAACGAAACGAATAATTTCAAACAAAAAATTGAAGAAATGAAAAACATCAAAAAATTAAAAATCGAAAAAATTAAAAATTAATAAAATTTTTAACTGAATATTAGGAAAATTTCCAAATCAAAAATTCAAGAAACGAAAAATACAAAAACTGAAAAGCTGAAAGGGAAAAATTATAAAATCAGAACATCAAAAAACCGAAAAATTGAAAAAATAAAGAAAAGAAACACCGAAAACGAAAAATTGCAAATCGAAAATTGAAGAGATAAGAAATTGTGAAATTTAAGAATTGAAATATCCAAAAGTTGGAAAATCGAAAACTTGAAAAATTAAAAAAAAATTACGAAATCGGAACTTTTAAAAACGAAAAATTGTAAAAATAAAGAAAATAAAAAACCGAAGAAAAATTTCAAATCTAAAATTGAAGAAATGAAAAACTGAAGAATCAAAAAATTGAAAAATTAAAAATGGAAAAAATCGATGGAAAAGGTACTAAATCCAATAAATTGAAATATGAAAAAATTCTAAAATTGTAAAATTGAAAAAGTGAAATATTTTAAAAATTATTATTATATATTTAAGTTGAAAAGTTGCAAATCACAAATTGAAAAATCCAGAAAGTGAAGAAATGAAAAATTAAAAATTGAGAACTCGTGAAATTGCAAATCGAAAAACTGAAGAAACAAAAAAATAAAAAATTGAAGAATTGCATCGTGAAAATTTGAAATCGAAAACACAAAAAAAACACTAAAATCGGAACACTGAAAAATCGAAAAATTGTAACAAAAAGAAAATAAAAAACCGAAGCGAAAAATGTCAATTCTAAAATGGAAAAAATGAAAAACTGAAGAATAGGATAATTGAAAAATTAAAAATGAAAAAAATAAATGAAGTTCTAAATTCTAAAAATTCTAAAATTGTAAAATTGAAAAAGTGAAATATTTTAAAAATTATTATTACACACCTATTTAATATGGAAAGTAGAAAAATTGGAAATCGAAAATTAAAAAAAGAAAATTGAAAAATTGAAAAGGTGAAGAAATGAAAAATTGAAAACTTGTGAAATTGCAAATCGAAAAACTAAACAAAAAAAAATGAAAAATTGGAGAATTGCATCTCGAAAAATTGAAAAATCCATATATTGAAAAATTTAACTTTGAAAAAGTCAAAATTTATAAAATCAGAACATCGAAAAACCGAAAAATGAAAAAAAAAAAAGAAAATAAAAGACTGAAACGAATAATTTCAGACAAAAAAATGAAATATCAAAAAATTAAAAATGGAAAAAATAAAAAATTATTAAAATTAGAATTATTATTACATATTTAAATTGAAAACTAGGAAAATTTGCAAATCAAAAATTCGAAAAACGAAAAATTTCAAAAATTCAAAAACTGAAAAGGAAAAATTATAAAATCAGAACATCAAAAAACTGAAAAATTGAAAACTAGTGAAAATGAAAATCCAAAAATTGCAAAATTTAAGAATTGAAATATTCAAATGTTGGAAAATCGAAAACTTGAAAAATTAAAAAAAAAACATGAAACGAAAAATTGTAAAAATAAAGCAAATACAAAACCGAAGCGAAAAATTCCAAATCTGAAATTGAAGAAATGAAAAACTGAACAATCGAAAAATTGAAAAATTAAAAATGGAAAAAATCGATGGAAAAGGTACTAAATCCAATAAATTGAAATACGAAAAAATTCAAAAAACGAAAAATTCAAAAATTCAAAAATTCAAAAACTGAAAAGGAAAAATTATAAATTCAGAACATCAAAAAACTGAAAAATTGAAAAAATAAAACAAGAAACACCGAGAACGAAAAATTGAAAACTAGTGAAAATGAAAATCCAAAAATTACAAAATTTAAGAAATATCCAAAAGTTGGAAAATCGAAAACTTGAAAAATTAAAAAAAACTTATGAAACGAAAAATTGTAAAAATAAAGAAAATAAAAAACCGAGCGAAAAATTCCAAATCTGAAATTGAAGAAATGAAAAACTGAAGAATCGAAAAATTGAAAAATTAAAAATGGAAAAAATCGATCTAAAAGTTATTAAATCTAATAAATTGAAATATGAAAAAATTCTAAAATCGTAAAATTGAAAAAGTGAAATACTTTAAAAATTATTATATATTTAAGTTGAAAAGTTGCAATTCACAAATTGAAAAATCCAAAAAGTGAAGAAATGAAAAATTGAAAAATTAAAAATTGAGAACTCGTTAAATTGCAAATCGAAAAACTGAAGAAACAAAAAAAAAGAAAAATTGAAGAATAGCATCTCGAAAAATTGAAGAAACGAAAAATTGAAGAGATCTAAAAAACAAAAACTACTAAAATCGGAACACTGAAAAATCGAAAATTTGAAAACTCGAGAAATTATAAACCGAAAAATTGTAAAATCTAAAAACTGAAAGAACAAAGAAATGAAAATTGAAAAATCGCAGATCCAAAAATTGAAGAAACAGAAAACAAAAAATGAAAATTAAAAGAAAAATTATAAAATCGAAACTGAAAAATCGAATAGTTGAAAAAATAAACTATTTATTTTCTTCTTTTTCTTTATTAAACCGAAACAAGAAATTACAAATGAAAATAAAAAAATTCTAAAATGTTAAAATTGAAAAAGTGAAATATTTTAAAATAATTATTACAAAAATTACAAATTAAAAATTGAAGAAACGAAAAATTGAAAAATCGAGAAACTGAAAAACTAAAAAGAAAAAAGAAAAATTGAAAAATTCGAAAATTTAACTTTGAAAAAGAGAAAATTTATAAAATCATAAATAACAAAAATTGATAAACAGAAATATTTTAAAAAATAAAGAAAATAAAAAATCGAAACGAATAATGCCATACCAAAAAAGTCGAA